CTGCAGGATAAATGCTTCTCATAGTGGATGGACATAATGATAACATTGTGAGTTTTGGGGGGTGGGTTGGGGAAGAGGGTTAAGCTGTATGCCCGAGTCCCTTCTAATTCTTTGATCCAGCAAGCATTAAAGTCTAATGGAGGATGCCATGTTGAATTAGCCAGGCAAGGGCCCTAATGGCCCCTAAGTAGTGTAACAAAGGAGGTTGCTCTGTGCTAGAAGGCAAATGGGTGAAGCCCCTCCCTCACCTGGCTGGTAGTGAGAAAGACAAAGGCAGAGTTCAGTGTGCAAGAGAGCCAGGCTAGAAGCAGCTTCAGGCTGTGGCTGTGAGAGAAGCAAGACCTTTTGGGGGGTTAGTGCTATGACCCCCCTCCATTGCAGGATCAGGTTGTATATATGTGTAAATAAACCATATATCATAAAGACACCAGTTTCTGCTGCCCCTCATTCCAAGGAAACCAAACGCTGGCTAAGTGCTAAGGAATCTCGCACTGCTTAGTGCTGGGGGGGGTGCATACCACAAGAGCTGTCATATTGCCCATATTTCTGGTACATCTAACAATGCATGATACAGCATGCCAAAGAAAATGCTGAAGATGGGATCAGTGGCGTAGGAAGGGAGGTGCGATGGGTGAGGGCCACCTCGGGTGGCATCACTGAGGGGGGTGACAAAATGGCAAAAATATGTGGGTTTTTTATATATTTTTTTAAAAAATGGTCTCATGACACTTTTGAATTTTTAATAACTTGCTTATTAAATGAGTTTAATAACTTTGTCTGACAATTAATTAACCTTAACAAGTCAACGTAATACATACTGAAACTTTTTAGTTCAATCAACAAATGCAATGAAACACAGCTGAACTCGACGCTGTGTGGTGGAGAGCGTATGGATAAGGAGGGAGAGCGGGTGTTTCTTTCTGCTGATTCGCTGAAGTCTGTCTCCGCAGTTTGTACTCAAGCGAGACGTGAACAACCGGTGACTCATCATCACTCAACCAGCAACCAATCCTATCCGCTGCCATGCCGGTCAGTCACCCCACGTCATTCTGTTGAGTTAGTTGAGCATTACAGTGGTACCTCAGGTTACAGGTGCTTCAGGTTACAGACTCTGCTAACCCAGAAATAGTACCTCGGGTTAAGAACTTTGCTTCAGGATGAGAACAAAAATCATTCTCCAGCGGTGCAGTGGCAGCAGGAGGTCCCATTAGCTAAAGTGGTGCTTCAGGTTAAGAACAGTTTCAGGTGAAGTACGGACCTCTGGAATGAATTAAGTATGGAACCAGAGGTACCACTGTATTGTTGTTGTTTAGTCGTGACCCCGTGGACCAGAACACGCCAGGCACTTCAGTCTTCCACTGCCTCCCGCAGTTTGGTCAAACTCATGCTGGTAGCTTCAAGAACACTGTCCCACCATCTCGTCTTCTGTCGTCCCCTTCTCCTTGTGCCCTCAATCTTTCCCAACATCAGGGTCTTTTCCAAAGAGTCTTCTCTTCTCATCAGGTGGCCAAAGTCTTGGAGCCTCAGCTTCAGGATCTGTCTTTCCAGTGAGCAGTCAGGGCTGATTTCCTTCAGAATGGAGAGGTTTGATCTTCTTGCAGTCCATGGGACTATTACTGAAGCTTATAAGTGCCGTGCTGAAGTAATTTTTATTACATTTTCTTAGTTCATTGATTCATTGTGATCATCCTCTTCTCTATGATATTGAGTTTGGTAAGTAACGTAAACGTTATGCCAATAATTTATTTTATTTTATGATGCATGCTATTTGTTTGTATTTGTACGTTAAGCCAAAGCTGCAAAATAGCAAAATTAAGTAAAAAGTTTCATTCATAAGAAATCCCCATCACAAAAAAAAGGTTTTAAGTGCTTATGCTCACAATGTTAAGTAAATAAACCAGAAAATAACACTTGCAACTGTAAGTATCTTATTTTCCTTCTTTTAATAATTTCATTGTGGGTGGGGGGAGGTGACAGTAATTTTTCCGCACCGGGTACCACCTGACCTTGCTACGCCACTGGATGGGATGAGCCTATGATCCTAGAGGTGGACCCAAATATTGTATACAATCTGTAATGATGAAAGACAAACTTCAGCATAGACTACAAAAAAGAAGTAGGACAATTTAAATTCAAGGTAGGCCAGTTGGTTAGATACTTTCAATATAATGTTTCATGGGAAAGATCACAGGATCGATGCTTTTGTATAAAACAGGGAGTGATTGATGCTATTGCATTATTGCTATTGCTATTTTTAATTTATTTGTTGCTTGATACGTAAAAAGTTTGCAAGTGACCTACAAAATTTTGAAAGCATAAAGCATGACATAAAATCAGAAAAAGAATCCTGCACCACAAGAAAAACTATACCTATAAAACAAACCCAATCACATGGCAGCAAGAACTTCAGGAGCAAGACGGCTTGTTCCAGTTATATTGTAAGGCAAGAAAGCAGGTGGTGAAAACTATGAAAGATGCTTCAAATAATGGATATCTGAAGAAAGGATTTCTAGTTACTGGAAACAGGTCATCAGCAGAACATCCAACCGGGTGTCTCCAAATTATAGGAAGCTTATATAAGGCTTCCGGGCAACTGAGAGGTCAGACTGTAAGATACAGTGAGGGCTTCAGGAATACACACAGAACATATGAAAGGCAGGGAAATTGTCCCACTTCCTACTCCAGCACTTCCTGCTGGATGATAAAGGCCTTGACTCTTGGACCCAAAGAAAGAGGTTCTGATCACATGGTTGTGGCTGGTTGGTATCCACCTGTTTTGGGAGACAATGGAGGAGTACACCTTTGGGGGTGAAGTCAAATTGTTGGAAGGTTACAGTACCCGCTGGATGTGAACATTATTTCTGATAGCTTTGTAGCTTCAATAAGGAAAGAAGCCATTCGGTACAATATAATTCCAAAAAGATCTTCCTGATGCATGCAGTTTAATCTGTTTTGGTGTTCTCTCTACAAAGGAATTCATACACCGCTCAGTCAAGCGGGCATTTTCATGCAGAAAGTGCTTGGTTCATTAAGAAAGTGTCCCACAAAGCAAGCTAAACTGAAACATGATCTAAGGATCACAGTTTCTCTTTTAAAATAAAATTAAAATGGTCTTCACAGTAAATTATATGGGGGAAAGGCAGTACTATTTTAAACATACCGGTAAATAGAGACAGTTGAAATATAACATTACTTGACATTAAAAGAAGCAGCTTATTTAATTGCTCTGTTTTGAAAAATATAAAATATGTTTGTAAAAATATATAATACAACAGGGCTGATATATGGCTTGCACATTAAGAGATGTAGGCTGCATAAACACAAAGTTTTAAGGGATGTTGTTGGATTATCTTCCTGTCGAGGTACTATATTAGTGATCAAAGTTGACATTGACAGCTAAGGGAAAGAGATAAAGTACTTAGACATCTAACAAAAGAAAGATGAGAGGAAGCCATCCCCTCCTCCTCCTTGCCCACCATTTTCTGCTGAGGGCATTTCTAGTCTTTCCCCCTGATGTTGCACTTGATGGTGAAATTAATCCCAAATCTAAACTAGCATGTCATTCCCATTCCTCGAGCATCCCCCACTCCCAAAGTAAAAAGACTGTTTCATTCAGTTTGGATCTTTTCATTCATTGTCAGCTGACAACGAAACCAGCCAAGGCACTAATCTATGATCAGGTGCAGGTCTCTCAGGATTTCACTAGGTTAGGATAGTCACTGCATTTGGAGGTAAGAAATTGGACTCAAGAAAATCTGTTGATGTTAAACATATACGGTAAGAGGAGCAGACCTGAAAGGGCTGCAGTTTTTGGAAGTAACAGATAAGTTAAATATTGCTATTTAATTATTAACTAAAGCTGGGGGGGGGGTCTTCTTTTTTCCTAACAAATCCTTTTAAAAACAAAAAGTAAAATTAAATAAGAAAATCAGTTACAGAAGTATCAGTGCAAAATTTAAGAACAGTATAAACCAACTACAGTGGTACCTCAGGTTACATACGCTTCAGGTTACAGACTCCGCTAACCCAGAAATATTACTTCGGGTTAAGAACTTTGCTTCAGGATGAGAACAAAAATCATGCTCCAGCGGTGCAGCGGCAGCAGGAGGTCCCATTAGCTAAAGTGGTGCTTCAGGTTAAGAACAGTTTCAGGTTAAGAACGGACCTCCGGAACGAATTAAGTACTTAACCCGAGGTACCACTGTATCAGATAAACTGATAGTGCAAAAGCCAGTCCCACTCGAGGGATGGTGTTTCCATTCTTGGCTGTGGTGAGGACGGCAGCGCCTGCTCCCTTCCAAGGCCTTTTCCAGCTGGCCCAGGGGGCGGGGCCCAGGCCCTCACTCTCCTCAAACATTAAAAACTTCCCTAAACAGGGCTGTCTTCAGATGCCTTCTAAATGTCAAATAGTTGTTTTTTTCCTTGATGGGAGGGCGTTCCACAGGGCTGGCGCCACTACCAAGAAGGCCCTCTGCCTCATTCCCTGTAGCTTCAATTCTTGCAGTGAAGGAACCCCAGAAGGCCCTTGGAGCTGGACCTCAGTGTCTGGGCTGAATGATGGAGATGGAGACGCTCCTTCAGGTCTACTAGGCTGAGGCTGTTCAGGGCTTTCAAGGTCAGCACCAACATTTTGAATTGTGCTTAGAAACGTACTGGGAGCCAATGTAGGTCTTTCAAAACCGGTGTTATATGGTCTCAGCGGCCACTCCCAGTCACCAGTGTAGCTGCCGCATTCTGAATTAGTTGTAGTTTCCGAGTCACCTTCAAAGGTAGCCCCACGTAGAGCGCATTGCAGTAGTCCAAGCGGGAGATAACTAGAGCATGCACCTCTCTGCCGAGACAGTCTGTGGGCAGGGAGGGTCTCAGCCGGCATACCAAGCTGTTCTTATGTACTTTTACTTCTGTATTATATTTCTCCTCATAAAATCATAGAATTGTAGGAGGGGACTCCAAGGGTCATCTAGTCCACCCTCCTGCAATGCAGGAATCCTGCCCACAGTTGTCTCTGTGTGGTCTCAAACCACCGACCTTCTGGCTAACAGCCAGATACACTGACCCATTGCACTATGAGGCTTCTTAGCATAGTTCTTTCCAAATAAATATGATAACAACTACATATTAATATAAGAACACAATAAGCGCCTGCTTGAGCAAGCCTGGTCCAGGATCCCATTTTCACAGCAGCCACTCAGATGAATGAATGAATGAATGAATGAAATCTTTTTTTGCGCCAGCCATCGGCCATAGCGATAAAACAACAATGCGATATACAAAGAATAGAAATAAAAAGTCAATTATATAAAATACGTTTTAGGGTTTTGAAAGCCACCAGATGCATGTGGAGGACCTGAGCAGAAAAGCACTTTCCCCTCTTGTGGCTTCCAACAACTTACGGTATTCAGAAGCATTACTGGCCCTGTTTCCTAGAATTTGTTATTTGAAACATGAAAACAGGAAATGTGGTTTTTTGGGGGGGAGGGCAGGTAGTGAAGTAAATCACAGCCACAGAGAGATCAAAGAAAGGAGCTGGTTGGGTGTTAAGGCATCTGTTTGTATGAAGAAGGTCTTGGGTTCAACTCCAAATATCTCCAGGTAGGCCTGGGAATGTCTCCCAAAACTCAGGATACTGCTACAGTATACTGAACTAGAGGGATCAACGGGCCAATTCAGTATTAGGCAACTTCCTGTGTTCCTATAATAAATTGCTGCCACAATTTAAATGCAACCCATACTTTTAGATATGTTCGGTCATTACTGCGTTTATCCTGATTGAGGAACAAAACAAACTCACTTTGATCTGAAAGTCTGCCAAAGCTGGTCTTTTAGACTTAATGAAAAGCACAGATCTGTGTGTATTCAACGTGTGCTCTCTCCTTGAATTCGAAAGCATCATAATAGCGCAAGCTCTGATCACAACTTTTCTCTCCCTTTGCCCCCCACCCCCTACAGAAATGGAATAAGATCTGCCACTGAAAAATAGGTCTTCCCTGAATACACCTTTGGTAGTGAAGGATATTGAATTGAAACAATTTTTGCAATATTTAAAAGAAAACTCAAAGCCTTGGCAACAGCTCTTCTATTTAACCTCTCTTTGGAACCAGGAAAAGAAAGTGATCTACTTGAAGCATGAGAGCAAAACCTCCTTGACACTGCAAGTAATAAACAAAGGAGTCAAATGTTATTCATAGTAAGTCATGAAATAAATCTACAAGTGGCAGAATAACAGACGTTTCTTTCAGTTTGTTGAGAAACAATTCAGAATATTAAATGCCTTGGTGAAAAGGCTGCCATAAATATAATTTTCTGACAAATCATTTAAAAGATCAGCTCATAGTTCAAATTTGCTTACTGCTACCTTCAAAAGCTGTCAAACCCTGTAATAAGTTTTGTTTACTGACACTTTGCTAAATGTAGCCTTATACTACACAAATCACATATGGAAGGGTAATAAAAATGGCCAGCCAGTGTGGTCCTTTCTTGATGAAATTGAAATTTATATGTCAGAGATCACACACATTTTTCTTTACTTTAAATCATTATTGGGCAGGGAGATGAATTATAATTAAGCTTCCTTGTAATCAGTCTCAAATTTAAAGAGCTTTGAACAGAACCTTAAACAGGACTAAAATAAAATTGCCACATTTTCCAAACTTACTCGTCAAGATCAGTGCTGTTTTTCTAGAAAAAGAGGTGCTGGAACTCACCAGGAACACCTCTTTCTCACAGAATGGCAATGGAACCCACAGAGAGGTGCCAAAACTGAGTTCCAATGAGGTTCCAATGAGGTTCTCCTGAAAAAGCCCTGGTCAAGATAATGTTGTGTACAGAAGAGCCTTTGATCCAGCAGAGGCTACTTCTGACATCCCCTCATCCATGCAGGTTCCCAACCCTATACTACCTCTAACATCATTCCATACAGTCTCTCTATGCAGGTTCACACACTCTTCTCTATCCTCCATCCAGACAAGTGAGCCGCATTCTCAGATTTCAGGAACATTCCAACCGGACAAACAACAACAACAAGACCACTCAAAGAGAGTGCAAGACATGATTAGCCTGGGGAGAGGCAGGTGGCTGGAGGGAGAGAGTTCCAAGAGAGGCCTGGAGGGCCACATGGCACCCCCTCAGCCTGATGTTTCCAACCCCTGGTGCAGACAATACTGAGCAACAAAATCTACACAGTTCAAACACTGACTGGGAAAATTATGTTGTTCTGATAGCCTCTTCCCAGTGGAAAGTAAGATTCAGCCATAGTCGACTGAGTTAAGGATGAGAGATAATCCTTCATTCTGTATTTCTGGCTTTTGCCAGTTTAATCTAGACCCGTAATTGTATTTTAATATAGTTTTTAGAATATATAAAAAAGCTGAAGCAAATGATAACCTAAGTCCCTGGACATGTTCATTGTTGTAAGTAAAGCAGTTGTGCCAGATGTTCAGAGATTATTGATGTGAAGGGAGAGAGAAAAGACAGTGCAAGGAAGAGGGAAGGTAGCTGATTGTATGTTGGGGGCCTGGCCGTCAGTATTACAACCTCCTTCCCTTCCTCCTCTGATTCGGGGAAAAAAAAATATGGTAACAGCTTGAAAGAAGCTCTTGCACAGAGCTTCTTGGATCACACAAAACAGATAAAAAGCTAGCAAGGCACAGCTCCAGAAAGCGCTTCATATAGTCAAACTGTATGTACATTTGTGTGGGGTTTCCATTACTGTTCAGCTTTCCTTACCACACAAGGTGCTGCAAAACCAATGGGTCTGCAATGCATTAAACAAATACCTTTTCCGCTATCTATTGCTGAGTTTATATTCTGTGGTATATTGCATTCTTACTCATATTAAGTCTTCTCTGTTATAATAAAAGCATCTGTGCTGGCACTTAAACTTAAATTAATAAAGTCTGGTACTCAGACTTAAATTAGCAGGAAAGAAGAAAAAACTTTGTCTTTTCAACCATGATGTTCTGTCTTTCACTTCATCTTCCAATGGCCATATGTTTTCTATTTCTCATAGAGTCCCTTGCAGTTCGGATTTTGCTTAACCAACTGAGTGTATCTTTATTTGGTGAAAATATTTTGCAGACATACAAGACTCACACACTCAGTGGAAAAAGCCATTATGTGCTGTTCTGTTGAAGCCCGTCTCAGCCACAGGAGGACCCAATGGAGCCCATCGCTGCAGTGGGGGGGCCTTTCAGAGGCCATGATGGGCCCCGTCAGGCCTCCTTCTGCCACGTGACATCACACACGTCACGTGCCTGGCAGGGGCATGCAGGGCAGGAGAGGAGGAAAGCCCCGTCTCACAAACCGAAGTCCTTATGCAGGGCCTCTGCTAAGAGGGAGCCTCTAAACTGACCTCATAAGGGTTAATGAGAAGGTGGGGTGATGGAAGAAGGAAGTAAACAGCAGATAGAGGTGGGTTCTGCTCTAACTGACTGGTCAAGCTTGTGATGAGAGAAATTGTAGCTGGGAGGCAAATTCCTTTAAATATTGGTTGAGAGAGAGAAATAAATAAATAAACAAACAAACATATTGTCACAAAGATGTCTTGAAATATTATTATTATTATTATTATTATTATTATTATTATTTTGAAAAATATTACTGTTCATTTGATATTGTGAGCTGCTTTGGGCATAATCTTATGAAAAAGCAGCATACAGATAAAAAGATGAATGAATGAACTACCTTCTTGGTAGTGGCACCTGCCCTGTGGGACGCCCTCCCAGCAGATGTCAAGGCAATAAGCAAATATTTTACTTTTAAAAGACAACTGAAGGTGGCCCTGTTTAGGGAAGTTTTTAATGTTTGATGCTGTATTGTTTTTAATATTCGGTTGGAAGCTGCCAAGAGAGGCTGGGAAAACCAGCCAGATGGGCGGAGTATAAATAATAAATTATTATTATTATGAATGAATGAATGAATGAGTAGTACTCATATGTTTGGGTTATTCATAGAGCAAGGAGCATGATGACGCATTACAAGCAGTCATATACCGTATTTTTCGCCCTATAGGACGCACTTTTTCCCCTCCAAAAATGAAGGGGAAATGTGTGTGCATCCTATGGGGCGAATACAGGCTTTCGCTGAAGCCTGGAAAGCGAGAGAGGTCGGTGCGCACCCACCCCTCTCGCTCTCCAGGCTTCAGGAAGCTCTGCGCAACCCTCCGGAGCCAGGCTCCCGAGGGTTGCGCAGAGCTGCCTGCACTCCCGGGCTCCGCGCAGCTCCTCGCAACCCTCCGGAGACCGGCGCAAAGCCGCGCCGGGCTCCCGAGGGGTGCGCAGAGCTGCCTGCATTCCTGGGCTTGGCGCAGCTCCGCGCAACCCTCCCCAGGCTTGCGGAGAGCTGCCTGCATTCCAAAGCCTGGGGCTGAAGTGCGTGCCCGGGCTTCGCGCAGCTCTCCGCAAGCCTGGGGAGACCAGCGCGGCTCCCTAGGCTTGCGGGTAGCAGGCTGTTCTGGGGGCTGGGGTCGGGGGAAGCTCGGGCTTCCCCCACGCCAGCCCCGTGCCTGGGGGGGGGGGGTTCTTTATTTCCCCCTAAAAAAAACTAGGTGCGTCCTATGGGGCGGTGCGTCCTATGGGGCGAAAAATACGGTATGTGACTCTTCACACTTTAGAATTGAACCTGCACAGGATTATAGTGAATGGCACATTTTATAGTGACAAAGAGCAGACACAGACCCATTTTAACTCATGCAGAGGAACATGACCTGTGATCCTCTAAATATTGTTAGATTTCAACTCACATCATCCCTGGCTATTGGCCATGCTGCCTGGGACTGATGGAATTTGCTATTCCATGCTGGCTATTCCTGAGCTAAGGTATGCAGTGTAGTTGCATCAGGGAATGTAGGTGGTGTTGAATTTGTAGCTTCCTGTTATGTAGCTGACTTAACATAAGGAAGTGTGATAGTCTTCAAGCATGAACAAACCAAACAGAGGAACAAAAGCTGCTAAATACATAAATAAATGCTGCCATTTTATCTGCATGCACCAGGAAATAAGCCCCAATGAACCCAGTGGTATTTACTTCCAGGTAAGCAGATATAGGAGTCCACTGTAACACAAATTAAAATCTGG